GTCCATAGTCCTTGGGCCTTTATAAGGTGGTTGGACCCAATGACCATTTAGTGTAAATGTTGGACTTGTTAAGAGCCCATATTAATGGGTTCAGGRGTTCACTATCTTCAGCATTGAATTCAGCTAGGCCTTGTAATAGAGGCTAGACTGAACCCATATGACTTTTGTGGAGATCAATGTTAGGGTCACACGCCATACAAAGAGAAACAAGCTAGCCAGCAAATTAAAGGGGAAGTGAGCTTGATGACTTAATGGGCCTAAAGCCCAATTTGAACTGGGCTAATTAGATTAATTAATTATGGGCGAATTTGAGATCAGATCTTCTTCTAGATCAACGAGAGGATAAGATATGTCTTATCCACTTAAGAATTCTGATACATAAAGGTTTGGATCAAAGAACCCTTTCGTGATAGGATTAGGAAGTTGATCCAGAGAAGTTATAAAAGAAAATTTTTGAAATTTCGCCCAGCCACCCTGCATGGTTTGGCCATCCATATGATGGATATCCCTTCCCTTCAGCTACAACTAGCTATAGCGACAAGAGAGAGGCTTGAAGTGCAGTTTGGGAAATCCGAGCTCACTACCCTTCGTCACACTCTGTGTTTGCCGCCAGGTTGAAGACAATGAAAACCTCCCTTTAGTACAATCCCTCTTTCTCTCTCTAATCGTCTCTTCTCTCGCCTGAACTGAGAGACCCTAGCCTCTACCTGAGAGTCTCTCTACTCTCATCACAATCTTTCAAAGGGAAACCACCAGAGCCCTCCCCTTCTTATGCTCTCTCTCTCTCTCTCTCTCTCTTTCTCTCAGACTTTCTCAGTTCTCTCTCTCTCTTAATTCTCAGTTCGGCATCTCCACAGAAAGGAAAGCACCGAGAGCCTCTCCCTTTCTAACTTCCCCCTTCGACCCCGTTCTCCTCTGCCCCCTCCTTGGGATGGGTGCATGGTGCCTATGAGAGAGGGAGGTTTCAAAAAAAATCTTGAAGGTACATGGGTCTATTAGGTTAACTCGACAATTAGGGTTTGAAAGTGTGCATTTAGGGTTATATTTGGGTAAGGGGTATTTTAGGTAATTTGGAAGGAGTGATTTGGGAATTTGATGAGTGAAGGGCAATTTGGTAATTTGGGAGTTTGGAAAAAAGGGAATATTTTGGTAATTTGGTTAGAGGGTAATTTTTGGTAATTTAGTCAAGGGGTATTTTGGGTAATATGGTCAAGGGCATTTTGGTGATTTGGGAAGGAGGGGTAATTTGGGAATTTGGTTAGGGGTATTTTGGTAATTTAGAATAAGGGTAATTTTGGTGATTTGGTCAAGGGGTATTTTGGGAATTTGGTCAAGGGGGTATTTTAGGAATTTGGTGCGACGATAATTCTTGTAATCTGGTTAAGGGGTATTTTGGCAATTTTGGAGGGAGGGGTATTTTAGGAATTAGGATAGGGGTAATTTGCAAGGTTCAAAATATCGCAACGTATTGGCCAATATGTAGAACATATATAAATCATTCATTCTGTTTCTTTTTGTACAGAACGAAAAGTATTGTTATTCGTTAATCCATATTTAATACCGAATCTCTCATTAATGTAGTTTATTTAAGTCTAATTTCTCTTTCATTAATTAGTCAATTACTCCAAGACAAGTTTAAATTTAAATTTGAATTTTAGAGCCTAATTAAAATTCTCTCATTAATTCCTTTAATTAATGATCCCCTATCATTAATTTCGTATTCAAACCTTGTTTACTTAATTGTAAGTTTTAACAACCACAAGTTTGCAATGAGCCACACATATTTGTTTGCTATGATTATATGTATTTTTAATTTTAAGTAAATTTTCACCTTTCTTAAAGAGTGACAAGTTTTTATTAATAAATGCTATAATTAATTATTAAAATTTATATGCTAATAAATATTAAGATTAATTATATTGGTTTTTGAAAATTGACATTCTCATTTTAGTTTTTTCTTTTTTGTTTTTTTTTTACATTTTAATTATTCCATCATTTTTTCAACGGTTACTAATTGTGCTCCGATATGTCACATATTTATCTTAAAAAATATGGTAATTTGGGAATTGATCTTAAAAAATATGGCGGTGATTCCATCATTTTTTCAACGGTTACTATAGTTAGTAATATGTTTTTTTTACCATATTTTTACCATCATTTTTTCAACGGTTACTAATTTTAAGAGACGTATCGGAAAGATAATTTTATTTGAAATTTTTACCATATTTATCTTTCCGATACACCTTGCATTTTCGATACTTTGAACCTTGGTAATTTGGGAATTGATCCAAGAGATAATTCGGGTAACCTGGTCAAGGGTATTTTGGGAATTTGGGTAAGGGGATTTTCGTAACTTTTGGAAGAGGGGGTATTTTTGGGAACTTAGGGTATGAGGTGGGGTTTGGAATGGTTTAATTGATGTTCGAAGGTGAATTGGGGGTTCAGATAAAGGGTTGAACAAAAATCAGGTGCTGACAGTATAAATGTACACGTTTGAATACAAAGTGAGAGCTATTACAAGAAATTCAGATTGTACCTTCACCTTGGACACAGATAATTCTATCTTGCTAGGTTTAAAAATAAAATTTACAAGGTTTTCTACTGTACATATTTGTATTTGTACTATTCCAACTAAACCTTGTATTTGCACCATAGGCTCAGTTTGGAAAGAGTACAAAGACAAATATGTATAGTGTAAATACATAAAAAATAATATAAAATATAAGGTTTTGCATTCTACATATTTGCATTTATATTCCTTCCAAACTGAACTAAGGAGTGCAAATACATATACAGTGCAAATATATGCAAAATAATATAAAATACATAATTTTGCAATTTACATATTTACATTTATACTCCTCCCAAACTGAGCCATAAGGAAAGATGGTATACAAGATTTTGCATCATACGTATTTGTATTTGGCACTACTAGCAAAGACCGTCTGGCTAAAACTTCGCAGGCACGAAGCGTGGTACGGCGAGCCGAGGGACCATAGCGGAGGAAGGAAAGGGAGCCCGGACGGTGGAAGAGACATGGGAGGCCGGGTCATTTGACGGAAATGGAAGGCTTTTACCGAGCGGCTCATGAATTCTTGGAAAAAGAGGGAGCGCCCTAACCTTAATAGGGGCGTGCTAGCAACAAGCAGTACTCTTCCCAAACTGAGCCTTTAAGATCAGATCCTCTGATTTTGACCAGAATAAACAGAAAAATGCAGATTTAACTCATCCTATATTCGGAATTGTAAGTAAATGCTACATTGCTTATCATTTACATAACTTTATTTAATGGAGAAACATGTTAATAAGCATACATGTCTATGTATTAAGATTGGGCTGGTCCAAGATCCATCTTGTAGCCCAAACTGAGTTTAGGCCCAGATTTTAACCCGTCCCATCCTATCATCCCATGCCCAGCGAATCTGTGGATAGGATGGGCCCAAGACATGGTTAATTGGGCCTACTCAGATCAAGTTGAAGTCGTAACTTTATTCCCTGTTGGGTCAGGGTCTTATCAATATATAGAATCTTAGGCAACCTCTATGATACAGGAAAAGTATCATACCTGAAAAACAGGTATCCATATCAATTGAGCCAGTTGACACCGTCACCATCGCAGCTATTGGGTTCACGGGTGGGCAAATCCGCAAAGGGCTCACTATGATAATGAAAAAAATATGATATCGAAGAATGTCTGACCAATCAACTGAAATCATAAAGGTAGTAGCCAATCAGGTGTTATTTATCAAAATTCAAGATAGATTTTGATTGATAAAAACTCTTCCTATACCATGTCTTTCATTATTTTCCCATCTACATATGGTTGATTGGTTGTCAGTCTTTTAGGTATCATACCTTTTGGGTACTATAGCCAGAACAATTTCCTTTGATTTATGGTGATGATTGACATAGAACATTCCAAGGAGACGAACAAATTCCGGAAGTTAGTTGGTCAATGCTGTGAGTGAGACTGAGCAAACAGAAAACCTCACAGGGACAGGGTCATGGTTTTAATAATCAGATGGTTAGACCGTTCAAACCGTCAAGAAAACCGGCACCCAGAAATGTCACCAAATTATTATGATTGGTTCAACCATCCGGTCCGGTCTGAATCTGAACAATACTGGTTCCGGGCCTGCTGAGCCCAAATAGCCCTACCTTTTGTCTCCTGGCCCACGAAGCTCTGTTGCCAGTTGCCAAGCTCCCGCCCAATTGGGCCCAAGTGGGCCACCCAGACAAAGATGCAACATGGGCCCCAAATCCCTGATATCTTGATGTATGTTGTTGCTGGACTGAATGGATTCTCATTCTCCTTCAATATACCTAACCTAGTAACCTACCGCTAGATGCTGACAATAAGAGCCAACTAAGATCAATGGTTGATACAGCTCCCAAATGGGTGGAATACAATAACACACTTTACTCGACCAATAAAATGAGTCATTAACCCTGATCTCTTCTCAATTAACACCAAACACTTCCTTAATCACTCCCAAACGGAACACGGGTGAAGTGGAACCCACTCCCGTCGACCTCAGCGTATCAAAATATTTATATCAAGTCCTTATCTCTTATGAATTACACTAATCACTTCCTTAATTACCCAACCTTTCCTTAATCATTTACAATTAACACTTCTACAAATGAAAAGGAAAGAGATCGCTTCCTTGCTATCAAAACAAATGAAAACTTCCATCCGGTGGTCTTCCATTACAGCTGAAACAAACCACGCGTTTCTCTAACGAGTAGTGTCAGAAGAGAAGACCCGTCCCCATCGTGCCCCCTCACAAAGACAACCGAGTTCTCAAATCCGGCAGAAACAGCTAACCTACTCTTCCTTCTTCACCTTCTTCTCTCCCTCTCCCCCCCCTCTCTCTCTCTCATCTTGCCGCAATGGGGGAACGGAAAAAACCCATTTCTGGTCGGTCGATTCTTCTCTTGTGGGTCTTCAATTTTTTCTCTCTCGCCGTCGCCGATGATGCTGCCATCATGAACAAGCTCGCCGCTTCTCTTTCTCCGACCCCATCAGATTGGTCAGGTAACGACCCCTGCAAATGGACGGGGGTTAACTGCGACGCCAACGAGCGAATCACCGCCATCAGCCTTGCCTCCAAGTCGCTCACAGGTACTCTTCCTTCAGATCTCAATCAACTCACCCAGCTCAAAATCCTAGCTCTCCAAAACAACCACATCTCGGGCCCCTTGCCTTCTCTCGCCAATCTCACAAATCTGCAAGAAGTTTATCTTGATTCTAACAACTTCACCTCTGTTCCGGACTCGTTCCTCACTGGGCTCGATAACTTACAGATACTTAGCATCAGCGAGAACTCAAACCTTGCACCATGGTCTATACCCTTAGATCTGGGGAAATCTGCGAGTTTAGTTACGCTTTACGCTAGCAAATCCAATGTAATGGGCACGATACCGGACATTTTTGGTTCGCTTCCGAATCTGCAGTCTGTCAGGCTTTCTTATAATAACCTGACGGGGTCTCTGCCGCCTTCTCTCAACGGTTCTGATGTCCAGAACCTCTGGCTCAACAATCAGGCAGATGGGTTATCTGGAACCATTGATGTGCTTGGAACAATGGCTCAGCTCTCCCAGGTTTGGCTACATGCGAACAAGTTTTCCGGTCCGATCCCAGATCTTTCTAAGTGCACTTCTCTCTTTGATCTTCAGCTCCGAGACAATCAGTTCACTGGGACCATTCCTGARACATTGATGTCACTTCCCAACTTGCTAAATGTGACATTACAGAATAACAAGTTGCAGGGTCCATACCCACAGTTCAAATCCAATGTCAATGTTGTTGTTGGTACTACCAATAATTTCTGTAATCAAAAGCCCGGCCCTTGTGATCCTCAGGTGACAGCATTGCTTGCTCTGGCTGGCGGCTTTGGGTACCCCGTCAGTCTGTCGGATGCTTGGGACGGTAATGATGCATGTCAAGGTTGGAGCTTTGTCACTTGCCAGGGTAAAAATGTCTCTGTAATTAACCTTGGGAAGCAGCATTTATCAGGGACGATCTCATCCGCCATTGCGAACCTTACTTCATTGAGGAACCTGTACCTGAATGACAATAATCTCACCGGTCCAATACCGAGTGCATTAACAGGATTGACTCAGCTCCAGACTCTTGATGTTACAAACAACAACCTTACAGGAAAAATACCAGATTTCCCACAATCTGTGACACTGAAAACATCGGGTAATCCCTTGCTTGGAATCGATTCATCCTCGGGAAGTGGAAGTGGAGGAAATTCGGGCTCCTCATCAGGTGCTAATTCACCCGGTGGAAGTCCATCTGATAGCCCAAAGACAAATTCTGTCTCGCCCGGTATGATTGCTGGTACAGTTATTGCAGTTGTGATTTTCTTATGTGTTGTGTTCTTTGTCTTCTACAAATGTTGTACCAAGAAAAAACATCAGAAATTTAGCCGGGTTCAAGGCCCTTCTTCAAATGGGAAGGAGGTTGTGAAAAATGGCGTGATTGGTATGAATGGGTTTGGAGTGGCTAGCGAACTTCACAGCCAGAGTAGCGGAGATACTAGTGAAATCCAATTCTTTGAAGGTGGTAATGTTGTCATTCCAATACAGGTCCTTCGACAGGTTACAAATAATTTCAGTGAAGAAAACATATTGGGAAGAGGAGGATTTGGAGTTGTTTATAAGGGAATACTCCATGATGGTACGCAGATTGCTGTTAAGCGGATGGAGTCTACTGTAATGGGTACAAAGGGGATGAATGAGTTTAAGGCGGAAATTGGAGTTCTTACAAAAGTAAGGCATAGACATTTGGTTGCCCTTCTAGGTTTCTGTATCAATGGCAATGAAAGGCTTTTGGTATATGAGTACATGCCTCAGGGGACATTGGGCCAGCATTTGTTTGAATGGAACGAGCATGGGTATCTTCCTCTCACATGGAAACAAAGGGTCACAATAGCACTAGATGTGGCCAGAGGGGTGGAGTACCTCCACAGCTTGGCACAACAAAGTTTCATCCACAGGGATTTAAAGCCTTCAAATATTCTTCTTGGGGATAGCATGAGGGCTAAGGTTGCTGATTTTGGTTTGGTAAAGAATGCCCCTGATGGGAAGTATTCTGTTGAGACGCGGTTGGCAGGGACATTTGGATATCTTGCACCTGAGTATGCAGGTAAGGCTCATATTTTCTATGTATCTGCCTTTTTAATTGGTCAATTAACATTATCTGCTTTGCATTTTGTATTAACCATTCTCCTCTGATATTTCATCCTTAGGAGAGAACTTAGAAGTAATCCTGGACATGGCATAGATTAATTTCTTCAATGGCTTTTCTTTGATGCAGACTAACCCAAGTGCTGCGAGTTTGTATACCATGTCTGACATTTTCAGTTTTAATAGAATTTACAAGTTATCTTTGCTTCCTAAAGTTCAGGCCATAACACCTTGCATATATGCTTGGATGGAATTGTCCTAATTTTTTCTGCAACAAGTAGAATCATAGTTTCTTCAACTTGATTTGATTTAATAAGTAGACTTTCAATGCTTTTCCTCTCAAAAGACTCGTCAACATGTTCTTTTGGAAATCCATTATTTTTAGACTATTTATTTCTATATGTTGCAATACTGTTCAGTTTATTTGACCCAAATTGCCCTTTTCATTTCTCTGTGATGAAACACTTTCTTCCAAATTTGTTCATAGTGGTAATTTTACTATACTGTCATCCTTGCAATGAAATTTCTGACATCTCAAATTCTCAGTCAGTTCCCAATCATTTTTGTTTTTATATTCTTATGGTTCAGGTGTATGATATAATTATGGCTGGTGATTTTCTCTCTTTTTCTTTTTCTTGGCTCCTGAGTTTTCAACAGTCCATGTAATAATATTATTTAGCAATTCCTTACATTGAACACTTGTTATTTGTTTCCATGCAGCTACTGGAAGGGTGACAACTAAAGTTGATGTTTATGCATTTGGTGTGGTCTTGATGGAGCTAATTACTGGTAGAAGAGCACTTGATGAAACTGTGCCAGAGGAGAGATCTCATCTGGTCACATGGTTTCGTAGGGTTCTGATCAACAAGGATAACATCAGGAAAGCTATTGACACCACCCTTGATCCTGACGAGGAGACCTTTGTTAACATCTGCAAGGTGGCTGAGCTTGCAGGTCATTGCACAGCTCGTGAGCCTGTTCAGAGGCCAGACATGGGCCATGCAGTTAACGTCTTGGGTCCTCTTGTAGAGCAGTGGAAACCTTCTTCCCAAGAAGAAGAAGAAAGTTATGGCATTGACCTTCATATGACTTTACCTCAAGCTCTACAGAGATGGCAATCTGATGAAGGCACATCAACAATGGCTGACTTTAGCCAAACGATAAACTTAAGTAACAGTCAAGCCAGCATACCTACAAAACCTACAGGATTTGCAGACACATTCAAGTCAACAGATTGCCGATGAACATAGGTAAAAACAAAATTCTGAAGAGATGAGAAAAAGACAGGTTTCCATGCTATTAGGCCAGTGAAGAACACGCATCTCTCTTGTTGAGGTTTTTTATCAGTTGACATTGATATTCCTTCTTGTTAGTTCTTCTGATTTTTATTTTGTTAATTACTTGGACATAAGAGTTATCTGTTTCCCTGGTTTGGATTCTTTTGTGTAAATTTAACAGATTGTATTGATGGTACTGAAAGAGCTGGGGGAGAGTGTTTGGTGGTATTAGTGGTGGATAGGTTGGAGTTACAAGTAAGAGAAGAAAGTTTTGTACCATATTCATTTTTACTGGTCACCTGACCATTTGGATCATAAATTAGTGTTGCCCAGGAGTATTTATTTGTTCTGTTTCTAAAACGATGTGGTTGGTAGGCTGATATTTATTGCCTTTGATATGTTTTAATGATTTTGCAGGCTGTGTAAAATTACACACCATATTCTCTTTGCCAGAAAGATGTATATGCAGATGGAGTAGAAAAAAACAATAATATTTTGAAACTTTTCATCAGGATAGGGTGGACATAAGCTGGCAGAGAGGAAATTTTGTGTTCCTTTCCTATCTAATATTGAATATTTAGATATATGTCCTGGTGGGGTTGAAGCTGTAAGTTTTCACATGGCAAGAAGAGCAATTAAAGGCGCCTGTTAAGGTGAAGGTGGTGGAAAAAAGAGCTTTATTTTAATTTGGACCAGTAGTGATGCTCATGTGGTACTTATTAGTCCTTTTGGTGGTCTCTAAATGCATGAATTGATGGTTTGGATTCTCAGGGAAGAACTGTTGAACATTGACAGGATATTTAGAATAATACCTTCCTCGGGATGATTTTAGAAGGTTCTGGAGTCAAACATATTAATATAAAATATAATATGATATGATAAGTTAGTCAATAATTACATGTTTAGATTTAATTTATATGTATTCAGTAGCATTAAAAAGCATTCTGTGAGTTTGGATTGATAATAGGTTATAACATATGGTGCGTGGAAGTATGGCCCATTTGTGTTAACTGCATTATCAAAGATGGGCGTGTGCTACACGTCTTTGTCAACTCCAATTATCTACTTATCTCTTCTCTAGTTGTCTTTTCTTTTTTGGGCCCATTTCAAAGTATTAATTGTGGAAAAATATGAAAGGGAAACCATGGAAAAGGTTTTGGGGACAAGGTTTTCACTTTAAATGTTTTTTACTTTAAACGTTTCCTCTTTTTATTGTTTGGTTGGATTATACTTTAAATATTTTTTATTCTTTATTTTAAATTAATACCCATTAAAATGTGATACATCATCATTTGGTTTTGGTTTCAAGAAACATTGGGGTGTTAGAAAATAGAAAATAAGAATGACATTTTCCCAGATGTTTTATGTACAAAAATCAAAATGTTTTAATTTTTTACCGTTTATTTAATAAATAGTGAAATTAAACAGTTGTTTCATTATGCTTTATATACAATAAACACCAATACTTATATAACGCTGATGTGACAGCCTTTTTTTCATAGTTAAAAATTAATTGATTAATAGAATAATCAACTAATTCATGTGTTTTTGCAACTGGCACAAACAAGCGTTCAAACCCATCTTGAATCCAAGACGAACCGACTTGGTTTAACACGGTCACGAAACAACAATTCAGGCCAAGTCAGGGATATAACATGTAGATGAATGGCTGACAATTGTGACCACCTACGCTGATGTGGCAAACCGATCGAAAATTCTAGAACAATCTCCGAAGAGAAAATATATAAAGGCAACCGGGGGGGGCTTTTCTAGGGGGACTCTCGAGTCTCGACCACTCTTCACTCTATCTTTTTCCCATAAACTCCGCTCTCTCTCTCCACTGATATCCAGCTTCTCGTTAGACTTTTCAAGATTCGAACATGGAACACCCCCGAACACGGAGCACCGCCATTCCATGGCTCCAAATCTTGTCCCCAAAACCCGTAATTAGTGGATTCTACGAAAAATCAGCTGGGAAAAAAGTAACAATTTTGTTGCTTTTAGGCCCGAATTGACTAAAGCTATACTAGTTGGGATCCGTGGGACCCGTAAAATGAACGAATCTTGTTACAAATATTAAGGATTTTATTTTTGAGTTATGTTTAGGTGTTCTGGTTACAATCCACATTGAAATCGTAGTGAGAGTGGCTAATCTCGTATAAGATGTTAATGGGTTAAATTAAATGTAAATTCGACTTTGACGCACCCTACATGATCAAGTTAAGGTTGGGGTTGGGTTGGATTTGAGTGGAAGCATGAAAGGGATGGGTTAGAGTTGAGTCAAACCCATGCCAACCCGTCCAACCCTATAGGGTTCAATCTGATACTAACCTAACCTATGCTGTAGTCTTTCAATCGTATATTCTGTGACACATTTTGTAAACTCAAGAGCCGTTAATTTAAATTAGAAATTGGTTTATGGATTATTGGGTTGACATCTTATTCCCCTATGTTTTAATTTTATTATTAATGGACGATTTTTGAAAGAAAATGAAGTCGAAAAAGCCCTACGACATTCTTAATTAGGTGTGGTCATGGGCCAGGTTAATTTATAGGCCCACTATAAAGCATTACTTATGTAATTATATTAAATAGTATTTAGATTAATAAAACTTAGTTTTAAAATTAATAAATTTATAATAGCAAAATTAATTTTATAAGATTATTATTTTATATTAATTTATTTATAACATTAGTAATTTCATTAGACTTTCAATTAAAAATTATTATTATTATTATTAAATTTGAATTAATTTTTATAATTTTTAAATATGACTTAAAAGGATTAAACTTAGGGATTATAATTGATAAGGGCAACTTTTGGGTCTTATTATCAATAAAAATAATTTTTTTAATATAATTTCTAGAATAGGGTAACGTTTTAAAAAGAAAATATCAAAAAAAGGGTAGAACCACTATTCATCTCCTTCCTCCTTCAGACTATCAAATAAATTTCCACCTGGATGGTTCCATATGGCGGAACTCTTGTTACGAGCCAAAACACCGTTAGAAGAACTAAGATCGATGATAGGCACAGTTCCACAAGTCTCTGTAGCCTTTACGTCATCTTCACAGAGAATGGAAATAATCTCGATTTGGTGAGTAGCCAGGGACTCGAGTTGGCATCTCCACTCGTGTTGATTCACGTACAGTCTAGGGTTGGATAAAACAATTGAGATAAAGTGGAACATGATTTCTAGAGTTTGCAATGTTGGTTTGAGAATGGACTCATTCTTCTAGCCAGGGAACTCATTAGACGTCCAGAGTTTGCTAAGCTTTGGAAGGTGGACGAATTGTTCATAAGCCAAACAGGCAGATGAGGGAGCGGGGGACAAATCGCTGATGGCAAACCGAAGAGGAGACAGTAGCGAAACACGATTTATTGGTATGATGTTTCATGTGCTTTTCTAATTGTTTCAGAAGAAGAACTCATAGCAGCTTTGCTCCAAACTCAGATGCAGAGAAGAAGAAGAAGAAGAAGAAGAAAGAAGAGGAAGGAGGAGGAGGAGGAGGAAAGAGAAAGATAGAGACCGGAGGTGGGGAGTTTGTTCGGTAGTTTGAAGGAGTAAGAATATAAACTGTGTTTCTACCATTTTTTGATATTTTTTTTAAATTACCCTATTCTAGAAATTATGTTAAAAAGATTATTTTTATTGATAATAAGACCCAAAAGTTCCCTTATCAGCTATAATTCCTTAAAATTATAACTTTTATAGTTTTATTAGTAATAATAATTAATAATTATTATTTTAACAGGTAGGAAAAGCCTGAATTAGATAAGGGAAAAACGATAGGCCATCTGAATTGGCCATCTTTATTTTAATATATACTAATAGATAAAGCATGAACATAATTTCAGGCGGAATAATGAGAAATGGTGGTGGCAAAACAAAGATGCAACTGGGCATAAAAAGATGAAGACATTTCTTTTATGGGTTTTGAACAAGGTCGTCTTGAGTCTTGACTGCTTACCATAGAGATTGAATTCAAATGGGGATGGGAGTATGCAAAATTTGACTTTTTTGTATTTCTGAGTTTATGGACTATTCAACTCAACCCAACTCAGCCTTAATCCCTAACTATTTGGGAATAGTTATACCAATCCTAAACCACATGTTTTTGGTCAGATTACAACTTATAAGTCTTTTAATCATTTTTTACCACTTGGGATTATGTTTTCTTTGCTTTACGCCTACCCTTCTAGTCGTACCAGTTAAATCCTTTTTCACCAGCAGCATGGTCGTCATTGATCGTCTATGTTTTCATACCTTTTAAGTCTTTCCAAATAAATCTCTTCTAAGCTATTAACTTGCACATGAGAGAGTTTCAAAGAGGAGACCTTTTATTTTGTTCTAAACCTCTTATCCTTTACTTTTTCTTTTTCTTTTCTGTTTTTCTAATCCCACATTGCTGAAGAATGCTCTAAGATACCTAATAGCTTTCTGTTGGACACAAGTTTAGGCAATGACTTGGGCTCTACTTGATTGTAATGCAAACCTTTGTCAGTTTGTAACCATGATTTACATTCTTGCCTAATGTAAAATTTACACTTTGTATCTCATTTGCATTTATTAGCAATGCAAATTTTGTATCAAAAAATTGTCATTACTTTCTCTCTTTGGTAAAACTTATTAACAAAATAAGCAAATGTTTTTTAGAGATATGATTTATCAAATGCTTATTCTTGAGTAATAAAAATGTTTTGGTTGAATACAATCACGGAATTGAATTCCTTTGCCATTTACATAGAATTAAAGTGATTACTCTCTGTTTAAACTTATAAAATCGGCCAAAGCTTGGTGGAGACTGGAGAGGTTAAAGATATCCTTTTGAATTCCAAGCCATAAAATAATGGATTTGGGAAATTGTAGAAAATAAGGGCAGACAGTAAGACCCAAATTAAAGATATCCTTTTGTATTGATCAACCATAAATCAAATGGTCGGCAAGATCAATCAGGTTTCTTGGTTTTCGTACTATTCAATTGATAAGTTTGCTATATGTAGAGTGAGTTAGTTGGTGTGAGATTCTTATTGGTTTAATTGTCTAAGTAGGGATCTAATTGTTTCTAATTCTAAAAGATAAACAATTTAGACCATTTATTTTCTTAGGTTTCTCTAAGGTCATTTCTTTAACTATTCATAAAGAGACCTGTTGATCGATAAGAACCCTTAAATTGCTTTGATATTTAAAAGATTAAGTATCACTTGTAAAATTCTCATCATTTAGATAGTTTGGTTGTGGTGGCTTTCTTTCACGGTTTTTAAATGCATTCAAATGATGCTTGTTTGTAAAAATAATATAAGTAATTAATAGCGGTGGCAATTGGGTGGGTTGTGCTTA